TAGGGTTTAGGGTAACCGTAGAATTGCAATCATCGTGGAAGTATAGGTTTACCCAAATTAGAGACACTTAGGTCCCGAAGTGTCAATGTAGCAAGCCACTTAAGCACAAAATAAACAGGAGCGTCCCAAAATTAGGGCTACCTTTTTGGGGTCCCCATACTAAGGATTATAAAATATTGGGGTCTATATTGGGGTCCCCCTATTTTGGGAAACTACCAAATGCCGTTTGGGCTCTTGGACTCTTAGCCCAAGGTTGGTGTTAAAGGCACCGAAAATGAGCTGGGGTTTAGGGTTTAGGGTTTAGGGCTTTTGGGTTTAGGGTTTAGGGTTTAGGGTTATGAGCACTCAATCTCTGAGTCCTTCTACACAACATCTATACCCCAATCAAACCTGGCAAGCCCAAGGACCCTAAACACTGCAAACCCCGAGGCCCTAGGCCCTAGGAAGCAGGTAGGGGCCTGCATTCGGGAGTTGTCGAGACAATATAGGGGTGAATTGTAGGAGTTGGGGCTGAATAAATAGAGCAAAAAGTCCTGGGAGAATCAAATGGAAAAAGAAGAGAGACAAAGGCTTCTCGGGGCTTCTAGGAGTTGATGGATCTTTTGTCTTGGCGGCGGGGCTTCGGGCTTAGGGTTCGGAGTTTTGGGAATCCAGGAGTCGGGTTGGGTTTTCGTTTTGTTGGTTAAGGTGTGAGGCAGGAAGTCGCAAACATGTAGAAACCGGAATGCTGAGATTTGGTGCTGAGCTTTCATGAAGTGTATATCCCCGGATGCTACCCTTAATCCTTCAAACCTAAACCGTAAATCCCTAAGCTGATACGAAGGCCATCCAACCCTATGTAAATCCCCGAGCCCACAACCCTTCCAAGAACCCAATGCCCTGAAGTTTGAACCCTAATGCCCTAATCACCTAAATACCTGAATCTGAACCCCAAACCTAAATCTCCCAATTAACTAACCCCCTGCACCCAAAACTCTAAGCTCTAAAACTTGAGTCCTGAACCCAAAACAATGTATAGCCCCCCTTAAGTGGATAGAATATAGTGTATATGGGGATCTTAGTATAATACACCCAAAGCCATATTCTATCTACTTAAGGGGGACTATAGACCTTGAACCCCAAACTCCTAAACCCTGTTCAAGCGCAACAAACAAAACAACCCAAACCCTAAACCCTAAACAAGCCGTTCGCCTCTAGGATGGTGTCCAGCAAAGGAGTCAAGTCCTCCGGCTCAGCGTCGCAGAAGCATCCAAGCACCCCATGATAAGTTCAGGATCAGATTTTATTCCCTGGGGGCTAGTGGAGAATAACCTACTAGTAGCCGACAAGCCCTAAACCCTAAACTCCCTAAACCCTCAGCTCTAAACCATCAACCCTTTTGAATCTGGAACCCTAAGCCCTAAACCCTAAACTCCCTAAACCCTAAACCCTAAACCCTACCCCAAACCCCAAACCAACAGCAACCATAGCTCATGCCAGGAGAACGCTTCATTGCAACTCTCGTGCTCAGGGTTTAGGGGCTTTGGGTTTGGAGCTTAGGGTTTGGGGTTTAGGGGTGAAACCGCCGGGGGTTTAAGGTTTAGGGGTTTAGGGGTTTGGGGTTTAGGGGTTTAGGGTTTTAGGGGTTGAGGGCCGGGTTGAGGGTTTGGGGTTTGGGGTTGGCTTTAGGGCTTGGTGACTTTAAAGTGGGAACCCAGCTGAGGCCCAATGTAACACATCGTGTAACATCTCTTGTTTTGCCCGGCCCCTTTTCCACCTGCCCGGTAACAAATGGATCCCCTTAAGAAGGGTGGAAGGCCCGTCGGAAAAACAAAATCAAAGTCGATGCACCCTCCCGGATGTCAGATTCCCATCCCCTGATGAAAACCCCCATCCGCTGAAAAGACATATACCCCTTAATGTAATGACACGCAAAAGCTTTGCTGACACCGAGTGGAGGCTCTTAACTTCAACTCGACAACACAGTGTCTGTAGGACGTTCGGTACCCCCAACCCTATAATACGGACCCCACTCACATTCGTCACATCCGTATGAGAGCTATAGAGTCCTGTATAATTTGGGGGTTGGGATTACCAAAGACCCTTTAAAACCCCATATGGTCTAAACCCTCAATGTACTTTTCCATTTGGTTCACCACGTTTTGGGGGGTTTGCGAAGGCCAAACCCTCTTTTTGAAGGTCCGAAAGCCTCGCTTATGATCCAAGGTTTAGGGTCTGGCGTTTTGGGTTTGGGGGTTCCAAAAGAAGAAGGCCGCTGTCCGGGGGGATACCTATTATGAGGACTGTACTAGATCCGGGTATATGAATGCAAGCGTATTTATATAACCCGCCACATTGACTGGTATCACCGACCTTGTCGATATTTCTTGTTATGGGTACCTCGAAAAACTACATACAATTTCGACAAACAACCCAGGATTGTAAAACACCAAAACCCCAAACCCTAAACTGCAAAACCTGAACTCCAAACTTTCAATCCGAAACCCCTAGGCCCTTAAACCCTAAACCCCCAAAGCCCTAAAACCCTACTTGCCGAGAACATAACCGGCGCAGAGTGAGAGGCCTCTTTGAGGTCGTCAGGGCCGTCCTGATCCCATGCCAACAATCTCAGGATCAGAAGATGTAGGGTTTCAGGGATCAGGGTTTAGGGATTAATGTTCAGAATTATCCCTATATAACCTCAATGTACTTAGTTTCCATGTTCTTTTCCATTATACCGAAATAACCCCAAGATATTATTGGGGGATAACTAATTTAGTGTTTCAGATTTGGTAGTTTCCCAAAATAGGGGGACCCCAATAGAAACCCCCAAATACCATAATCCTTATCATGCAAATCCCTAAAAAGGTACCCCTAGTTTTGGGAAACCCCCATTTAGTGCTTGCGGTCTTTGGCTTGGGCTTCAAGGGGTTCCCGCCTCGGGGCTTAGAGGCTGTGATGTGGGGGCCTACATTTTGTCCCCCTTAAGTAGATAGAATATGGGGTATACGGAGATCTTATTATAATATACCCAAAATCATATTCTATCTACTTACGAGGGAATATTACAAGTGCAATAGACATTCGTGGATATTTTACTATAGTTATACAAGGATTTGTTTCAGGAATAATATTAACACATGCAAAATACTGTATCAGACCGTCCACTCTGACAGTGCCTTTCCCTCTGTGCACCCGACAAAGGACCCATGATTTTGAGAAACACCCAAGGGATCATCACGGAACTTCACTATCCGGCCCAGCCGACCCTCAACATTAAACCCTTTAAACTGCCCTAAACCCTAAACCCCTAAACCCTAAACCCCTAAACCTCTAAACCCCTAAACCCTAAACCCTAAACCCCTAAACCCAAAACCTTAAACCCCCCAGCGGTTTCACCGTGACCGAGGCCCCTGCCACAGACGCAACGCCCCTGAAACCGGAAGCATAGACCTGGAAAGACATGCGGGTGGTTGTCCAAATTCTGGTTATAGGGATTATGGGGTGTATAGGGATAGTGGAACATAACATGGAAACTACTATAGCATAATGGGGTTATATAGGGATTAAACGGTGTATATGGGTGGTTGTCCAAATTATGGTCCCTTTTGGGTACCCTAAGTATTAGGTGCCGTATTATAATGGGGATCCAAAAAGGGACCATAATTTTGACAACCACCCATGTGCTTGAAAGCGTTTAGAGGCTTAAAGGGCTGGAAGAGCGTGGGGTGGATAATGAAATGGGCTTAATATGGTGACTGTGTGCGAGCTTCAGGGCTCAAAAGAAAAGTGATAGCAGTCAAACAATGATAGTAGGCCCTGATTATGAATGGTGATTGTGAGAGCAATAGGGTAATTTAAAATAATTTCAATTCCCAATTTGAGGCCATTTTGGCACTATTCCCCATATAAGCCACCATTTAGGGCGAGGTCGGGTGAGGTCGCTTTGAATTGCCCAGGAGTACGGGCTGAAAAGCAGGGGTTCGAAGCGTCGACTTCAAACCTGAAGGCCGGATTGGAGTCTGGATTTTGAGCTTAACCTTTAAGACGCCAAGCGCCTATCCCTAAACCATGATGTCATGGCCGCACCTTGATATTCATCTTCTGTCGAACTCCCATTTTATGCTTGCGGGACTGCTGGCTTCCGGTTCCAATGCAGATCCTACTGTTCCTTGATGATGTCTCTAAGAGTAGCCTGCTTGCTAGAAGGTTTAGGTGCATGAGGTCATGCAGGATTCTGTGAACCCACCGTACTGTCTGCAAAGGACCCTTGACCGCATGACAACGGAAGTGCAGAGTGAAAGGACAAAGCAGCAACTTTTTTTCATGGAGTTAACCTCCCTAAGCAAGTTGAAGATACCTCATGAAACCCTAAACCCCACATGTTGGTGTTCAAGTTTCATTGCCCGCTCTGGTCTGGTCAGGCATTGCCGGCAGGGGTGGCGTGGTGCCAACAATGCACACTGCTGCATTCATTGAAGGCCTCGGTAGGCATATGATATTGCAAAACACTAGTGTTATCGCGCGATATGTAATAGTACTGGTTCCTGGCTATAGCTTGGGTTTGCCCTGCCTAGGGCCAACTACCAAAAGATTTTTCCTTGTGGAGAGCTTATGAGGGGGTTAAAGATGGGTTTGCAGGGATTGTTAAAAGCTCACTTCATTCGTACCTCCCCTCCCGTATTTGCCTTAGACTCATGTCCTACCTAGAGGCTGAACCCTACGAACCACCACATAACCATAGCTTCCATATCACTCTCCATGTCCTTTTCAATTGGACCCCGTGCTGTAACCCCTAATTATACTGTACATCCCTATGCAACCCATATAAAATATACTGCATATCCCTACATGACGCATGTAGTCCATATTGTAACCCCTAATTATACAATATGTCCCTATATAACCCATATGACGGGACCCCTCTAAACCCTAAACCCTAAATCCTAAACCCTACATCCTAAATCCTAAACCCTCATCCC